CCATACTGCAGAATTCATTGTATAGGTTCGCATAGGCAGAAATGGCATGAAATGCCTGCTCTGAGGCAAGTAATTTTGATCCGGAGCTTCGCCAAACGAGATTTCATGTTTGGATGACCGTTAATATTCCTAATTAAAATAAGTTGTGATGCCGTTCAGTCATCTGATTGGACACTTCTTTTCAAGATATGCCGTTATTCAGTTTCTTTGTCTTGAGGAGCCTTGAAGGACGACAACAGTTTATGTTCTTTACAAGTCTCAGACGTTCTTGTACATTAATGATTACTATTTTAAGGTTGGTGCGCGCCTACTTAGCAGATGAACCATTCAAGCAGTTTCTCGATTCAATGCTGTTCTATCGATATCTGCAATGGAAGTGGTTGGAGAAAAGACCAGTGGATAAGCACACATTCAGGCTATATCGAGTTCTGGGTAAAGGAGGCTTCGGTGAAGTGTGCGCGTGTCAAGTGAGTTCATTGTTCCTCTAAAAATCCTTAATCATGATTATCTTGCATTTTCATTTGCATGAACATTCATCCCCACTGGAGCCAATGACCGTGTAGTTTCATGCATTTAAAGGCAGCGTTCATGATAAAACGTTTATACATCGCTTCTGTGGACTGGTGCTGTCTTCTTATGAGCATTACCCTCCTATTTGTGGGGTAATATCCTGTTCGTTCCTTTCATCGGAACGAAATAAGATTAGAATCTTTTCAAAACCCTACTTTTATTCAAATGCCCTTGCTGGAGCGAAGTGTGTTTTTAGAAGGTGAGACGATGGAAGTGGGAGTCTGGCTCGTACTCAAAGCATTAAAAGCAACAGCTTTCTATGAAAAACCGCCTCTTGCGTTGGGGACCCCTCTTTCTCACTCGGAAGGCCTACCTCTTGGCACCTTATTCCGACTCGCGGCTCCAATATGAACGAGTATGCGTGGGAGTGCGGGACGTATGTGTCCCGCGCTGTCGTCAGTGTGTTTATTCATCACTAGGTAAATTTTTCGGACACCAACGGAGACCTGTAAAGCAGTTCGGGTCCCACGTCACA